TATATATATATATATATTTATATTTGTTTCTTAACAAAATATTTATAAACTAATATTTAGGTATAAAGTAAATCTTAACATACATATTAAAGAATCTGCTAAAAAAAATATATTATATTTTATATCAAAATATACAAATAACTATATGCTTCAGTGCATTGTGGTTGATTCTTGAATTTATTATATTATTGGCTACTACATATGCTTTAGTTGTTTTGATTGTAACTTGGTAAAGTATACGAACATCTTCTTGTTGTGGTGAACAAAGTGTAAGATGTTGTAGATTTTTTTTCTACTATATTGCTTCTGTTGTAATTGAGGTGAACAGGGCGTAACATAATGCTTTTATTATAAACAAGGTCTCTGAGATGGTTGCATTTATTGGCCTTAAATTTGTGATTTGATTACTAGTGACATCATGGTTTCCGTATTATCAAATTTGAATATTCTATTAATGCTACTGGTAGAGAACAATTTTTTTAACTAAGATTTCATTGCACAAGAAAAAAAGGTTTCGGCTTCTATTTTAATAAGATTAATTTGAACGATGTTCTACGCCATAAAAAATTGAATATTAATGACATTTATTTGAGTTTAACATGATCAATTACTTAATAAAGAGAAAACATTGATTGTGTGTTAAACCTATTTTAAACTTCGAATAAAAAAAGCAGAAGCTATGAAAATTAGGCTTTTTTTTCTTTGCAATTTTTCCTACGCTAAACATATATTAAAACTACAATTTTGCATTCCATGCTGGTTAGGTTTCGGCGTTAAGTGGCATGCTGGGGATTAATTTTCTTATGGTATGAATTGAATAGTTAATTTCAAAAAGCTTTATTACTTTGATTTTCATTTTAAGTAAAGGTTCTTATCCGATTTTATAATTAACAATGACATATCATAATTTAACATCAATATGCATATTAATTCAGTACAACTTTTTTTTTTCATTTCAATGAAATAATTAATACTCATCTACATTACTTGATAAAAATAAAACTTTCAACTTATATTCAACTTTTTTAATTAGTGTAAACTACTTGAATACTAGTACAAATTTTATTCATTTGTTTATTAGTTTAATTTATTAAATAATTCATATAAATATTCAAAAATTAATTCAAAATTTTTGCTTGTTCATTAATTTGTTAAATTATTCATTCCATTAATATGAGTAAGTACAGGCTAAGTTAAGATTATTTAAAAATTTACGCAAATTAAGTATGAACATATATGTAAATGTTTACTTGAGCTCGAGACAAACATCAACAACTAATAATATGATCAAACCTAATTCAATCCACGATATACTGGCTTGTCTCAGCTCAATTACAACCCTACATATAGTTGTTATCATCAAAATCATACTCCAACATAAGCTCATAAAATCAAAATGAGAATCCTAGATGAGTTGAGGTTAGGTAAGAATTTAGGCTAAATGAGCATCAAAACACAAAAATATTTATAACCCATTGTTGCTAGATTAACTATATTTTACTTAGCTTTCACATATTTTATGCTTTTGGGTTTTCATTTGTGGTGAATCTAAAATAAGAGTTAAGGCTACAATTATGTTGAAAAGATTTATGCTCATATAAATTTCAAAGATATTTTGATCACCGTAATTTATGTTGTATGTAATTTTTTGTGATAATTTTAGTGATGGCAAATTATTGCAATTGCTTTTATTATTGAGTTTTATACTAGTATCATGTCATACAAATTATACTCATATGCTTGTTTAATTCATCCTACACCTTATAGCCTTGTGTTGTGTATATATGTGTTCTACATATTTAGTCATTAAATTTATACAAAGTACTGTAATAATTTTTAGCTTTCAATGTGTGCACTACGTAGAGATTACATTGGAAATTCTAAGAAAAATTAAACAGTTGCGCACCTAATTAACTCACCGATTCATAATCTAATTAGCAAATCAAATAAAAAACCTTGAAACTCTATCTTTAATGGGAGAAATGGGGAACTCCCTTCCAGTCACATTAGGTGGCTTTAACTAATGTCAAGAAGTCATAACCAATGTCAAAAAGTCAGGTCATCGCAAGTAGAAAATGGTCGGTTTAATTAGGTTGCAATCATAACAAGGCCTAGCAACCACAAACACTATCTTAAACGTTTCCATATGTTAAAAAGGACGTCCTTATCACAAGTCTAGACCATCATATCTAACCTATGACAAGTTAGTGACGGGCAATTGAAAGTCAAGGTCACAAAGATGAACTAAAGTGTCCACAATCATGAAAATAGCAAGATGTTGTTTTGCAGGGGAAGAAAAGCCTTTTAGTTTTATTATTTATTATATCACAACTATGGATGATTTGGATCGCTCCAATCAAACGGCCTACAAGAAACTATTCATTATAGTTGAGGAATAAAACCATAAAATCATGAAAAAAAATTAATTTGTTTTGGAACAAATGCTGAAAGTTCATTCTTTTCAGCATGTAATAACATAAGTCACAATTCTCTGGAAATGTAACCTGAAGGTAAAAGCAGTTCACTTAAGAATGGATCAGACAGAGAATCCTTAGTAGATTCATAGTTTTTCAAATGCCTTTTAAATGACCTAAGATCTCTCACATCCTTTATCGTCCGATCCTGGAAAAAAAATTGAAGAATTTGCAGGCAATCAGTGGATTTTTTGGGTTTACTGGCAAACATTTTTAAATTAAACACTTACATTGATTTTCTTCTTGTCCAAAATGTCAACAAGATACATTAGCCAAAGAACATTGGTCTTGGGGAAGCTCCTTAGCAATATATTACATCAGTAAAATAATATACTTTTTATTTCATCTATTCAATGCCATGTAAAGTTTCTTCAAGCATAGGCAGGGACGAAACTGACTTAGTGGAACCATTCATAAGCATAAGGATTTAATGACAGCACATCATAACTGATTGAAACCGAGGTAATCATTTGGGTTAGACTTGACAAAAATATAGAGCTAAGACATACCTCTCTTCCCAGCATCCTCCAGTGACTTCTTTCATCCTTCGATATGTTTCGAACTGCCAAAAAGACAAACAGTCAATAGAATGGGGCTTAATTTTAAACATCTGGAGCTACTTTAGCTTGCTTCTCACCTGCATATTCCATTTAGGACCCTTGAAGAGTTCGGGATCTGCTGAAAGGTTAAGAAATAGTACAGCTTCTCCTGTGGTCATGCAAAATCTAATCATTCAGTACACTTTATGCAGTAAACAGCAAAGCTGAAATAACTGAGACCAAGTCCATGAAAATAGTACTTGCTTGCTCCTTGGCCTATTTCTCAGCATAAATTTCTCTATTTGAAGCATAAAAGAAACTAACAGACACAAATCATCATGGAATATCATATTCTCAGACTAAATACAGGAGTAAATCTTCATAACCCTACATGCACAGCTGCTCCAAATTTATTCCGTTCACTTTTGTCACTTAATCATATTTTACTTTTGTCACTTGATCATATTTTTCCGTAACAAATTAATATAATAACACATGAAAAGATTAATAAATGAAGGCCTTTGGCAAAAGTTCTGAATATAAGGGATCCAAACCTAATCAAATTTGCATATATGCAAAATCAAGGCTTCTAGGTTGTAAAGATTACTGAGCAGTTTACTTCGTGGCAAAAAAGCCCATAATTTTACAGATTTCTTAACATGGGAACATATACTGACTTTCTTTAAAATACTTGAGTAATCAGACCATCACAATTCTCATAAAGGATAATCACTGATACGGCAATGCAATACATGATGCTGCAAATTCCGCAACCATCTAAAAGATGCAAAATCTTCTTAAGTTCTAAGGATTGTGTTTAATGGAAAAAACTGGTCAATACAAGGATTGAATCCATGGTCTCATGGTCTAATTAGAGTTTTTTCAAATACAAAAACTAAGAACAAAAACATAAAGTTTAACGAACTTTAAATCATAAATTGCAAAATGATATTGTGAAAGAGAAATTACCAGTGTTGATACGGGAAAGTGTGAAATCAGCCATTGTGGCCCCATTACGACGTAAAAGAATGTTACCCCTACAAGTAATATTTTGGATTATAATTCACTAGCGGTAAATGGCATTCATAGGTAACACTAAAGCAAAATGAAATGAATCATTTGTAAGTCCCGAAAGCAAATTCTTACCAGTGTAAATCTCCATGTTCAAATTCGCATGCAACTTCTGCAACAACTAATGAAGCGGTAACCTACAACGAGAAAGATGGAACTGCCTTCACATGAAAAGCAAATGTTTACCAAAACAATTTTGTGAGAGGAGAGGGTTAACAAATTGCTTGCCTGCACAAGTAAACTTCGAGCCTCATTAAATTTTTTAAGGACAGAGTTTTCAAGATCCTTTCCACCATCAGCTAATACAAACACAATGTAGCACTGAAATAAGAGTTATTACTGCTTAGGAAATAGAGATTTTCAAATTGTATCAACGTAGGACAGTTGTCAAAATTAATGTCTTAGAGACTGAAAACAACTTGATCGTCACGAAAAGCACAAGGATGATCATTTTCAGAAGTATTTTTGGCATCCCACTCTTCTCATGCTCTAATTAAGTGTGTATCGTACAAGCCTTGGCATACTCTAAAACTGCAAGGAAATAAGACGATGTTTACGGAGAGCTAAACAAAATGATTGCATGGGATATGCATAGTGATTATAGGCAAGAAAAATATAAACATACTCCTTGGTCTCAATAAAATTTGCACACGAATTGAGCTTTTCTCCATATTCATGCTGCTCTCTCAAAGAATTCAGCGTTAAGGATAGCAAGACCTCTTTTAACACTTCTTTAGATTTTTGGAAGGAAAAGAGAGAGAGCAAAAGCATCATTAACACAAAAAAAAGGGTGACCGTATAAAAAGGCTAAAAAAGAGCTTTGCAAACCTTCTGGACTTCTCCATTAACAACCAAATCACCGTCAAAGGGAACAATCTTGCATACTGTTTCACCAGCTCTAAAAGCCTCTCTATATGTACCTTCACCAAGCTTTATTATACTGCTAGCATCACTGTCTCCACAAAAGCCATTTTCAAAGTAAGAACAAAATCTGAATATTTGGATGAGAAAATGTTTCCAATACGCTATCAATTAAAGGTGGCAACATTGACTTGTACAAATGTATGAAACAACCAATTTAGCCAAAGCTGCATATGTACTCAGTTTAGTTATCGATCCAAGTTTTCAGAACCAATCTTTGGATTAGCTCTCATTTCTGGATTTAGTTCAAACATAAAAACCGAGATCATTATTATTTTCTCTTAAGAGCACTAGTCATAGATTTTTCTCCTAAAATTTACCGAGAAAAGTTGAAAATACGGCCTTAGTTGTTAAATTTATTGAAGTGGCTTCTGAAGGAAAAAATAATATGAATAATAATTGTTATGGTATGGCTCATATACCATATAGGGACAGACGCTGGATCGAAGCGGAGCAGAAGAATCTATCCAAATTAGAAAGTTACGTGGGTTGGGGTGCGGGGGCAAAGCCCCGCGGTATGGTACAGGGGTAATACTGTGACTACATATTGTGCCTAGGGTTTACTCCTAGGGTTATAAATAGGTCTGTTAGTAACCCCAGGAGGTATCCCTGAATTCTGTAAACCTCTTTTCAGAATAGTGAAAGGAACTCGCCGCTCTGCTCCCGAGGACGTAGGCATCTTTGTCGAACCTCGTTAAATCTATGTTCTTCTGGATTTGTGTCGTTACTGTTTTTCTTCGCCCTAATTTTCTCAACAAGTGGTATCCGAGAAAGAAGGGAAAAAGTTCAAGACTCGGCTGGTTGCAAAGGGATTTTCACAGCAAAAGGGGATAGATTATAATGAAATTTTTTCTTCTGTGGTCAGACATACTTCAATTAGGGCAGTACTTGCATTAGTAGCTATTTGGGACTTGCATTTGAAGCAGATGGATGTTACAACAGAATCAAGATAAGGTGTCAGAGAACAGTTCCAGTTCAGACGCAGTGCGGATGGATTTAGAACAACAGCCAGTAGCTTTTGAGAGAGGTGAAAGTTCAAATCACAACACCTGGTGATTCTATTCCAGATGTTCTGCACAATTATAATCTAGCCAGAGATAGACAGAGACGCACCAATGTATGGCATTCTAGCAGATTGGGTTATGAAGACTTAGTCTCATGTGTACTTCTCATCAGCAGCGATGATCCAGCCACTTTTCAAGGTACTATCCCTAGCCAGGAGAAAGAAAAATGGATGGGTGGAATGGTTGAGGAAATGGAGTCTTTGCAGAAAAATCGCACTTGGGAGCTAGTTCAGCTTCCAAAGGGAAAGAAGGTCATTGAGTGCAAATGGGTCTACAAAAGGAAACCAGCAGTATCAGAAAAAGAAGGGGAAAAGTTCAAGGTTCGACTGGACTGGTTGCAAAGGACTGGTTGCAAAGGGATTTTCACAGCAGAAGGGGATAGATTATGATGAAATCTTTTCTCTTGTAGTCAGACATACTTCAATCAGGGCAATACTTGCATTGGTAGTTATTTGAGACTTGCATTTGGAGCAGATGGATGTTAAAACCGTTTTCCTGCATGGTGATTTGGAGGAGCAGATTTACATGGAGCAGCCAGAAGAGTTCACTCAACTTGGACAGGAGCATCTGGTTTGCAGGTTAAAGAAATCGCTGTATGGGTTGAAACAATCTTCAAGACAATGGTACAAGCAGTTTGACTCCTACATGATGCAGATTGGCTACAGGCGAAGGGTGGGATTTTGTTGTGTTTATGTGAAGAGCCTTAATGATGATTCTATTATTTTTCTGTTACTGTATGTTGATGATATACTGATTGCTGCAAAGAATATGAATGATGTCCGTGGTTTGAAAGTTTTATTGAGCCAGGAATTTGACATGACAGACTTGGGTCCTATGAAGAAGAATCTTGAAATGGAGATTCATCGAGACAGAGGCTCAAGACGATTATGTCTATCTCAACGAGGCTATGTTGAGAAAGTGCTGGAAAGGTTTGAGATGAGCAATGCAAAGCCTGTGAGCACTCCTTTGGCAAATCATTTTAATCTTTCTTCAGAACAGTGTCCTAAGACAGATACAGAAATGGAAGACATGACAAAGGTTCCATATGCCAGTACAGTTGGTTGCTTGATGTATGCAATGGTATCTACTCGTCCTGATTTGGCTCATGTTGTTAGTCGAGTCTGCAAATATATGGCGAAACCTGGAAGGCGACATTGAGAAGCAGTCAAGTGGATTTTTAGGTATCTGAAAGGTACTGTAGGACATGGAATTATTTTTGGCAGTCAGCAGAATAATTCTTCAGTTGTGGGGTATGTTGATTCAGACTATGCAGGTGATTTGGATGGCAGAAGGTCTACAACTGGGTATGTGTTTACTCTTGGTGGAGGGCCTATATGTTGGAAATCAACAATCCAGTCTATTATGGTATTATCTACAACTGAAGCTGAGTACATGACAACAACTAAAGCTGCAAAAGAAGCCTTATGGCTTACTGGGCTAGTAAAGGAACTGGGCGTTGAGCAAGGTGGAGTTCAGTTGCATTCTGATAGTCAGAGTGCTATTTATCTGGCTAAGAACTAGGTGTACCATGCGAGAACCAAGCACATTGATGTCAGGTATCACAAGATCAGAGAATTGATTGCTTCTGGTGAGATACTATTGCAGAAGGTTCATACTGATGAGAATGCAACTGATATTTTGACTAAGCCAGTTTCTCTCAACAATTTCTTGTATTACTTGGACTTGTTGAATGTTTGCAGTTGCTAGAGAAGCATGGTGACCCAACCCACTTCTGGTATGTAAGAAGCTCCATGACGTATTTCTCCTATGTGGCTGGATGTTCGCCAAGGTGGAGATTTGTTATGGTATGGCTCAATACCATAAAGGGACAGATTCTGGAGCGGAGTAGAAATCGAAGCGGACCGGAGCGGATGAATCTGTCCAAATTGGGAAGTTACGTGGGTTGGGTGCGGGGGCAAAGCCTGGCGATATGGTACAGGGGTAATACTGTAATTACATATTGTGCCTAGGGTTTACTCTTGGGGTTATAAATAGGTCTGTTAGTAACCCCAGGAGGTATCCCTGATTTCTGTAAACCTTTTATCTAAATAGTGAAAGGAACTCGCCGCTCTGCTCCAGAGGACGTAGGCATCTTTGTCGAACCTCGTTAAATTTTTGTGTTCTTCTAAATTGTGTCGTTACTGTTTTTTTTCGCCCTAATTTTCTCAACAATAATGCTTCATTATATCATAGCCTTAAGGTGCATAGTTTGGCTACAATCACTACTCGAGATGAGAATAAGACTTCTTTTTTGGTCCAAAAAGTTAATGATTTAATGACTGAGTTTATTCTTTCAAGTCTTCTATTAACACCAGTCAAGATCACGCCAACTCAAATAAAGTTAACTTTCTACATCAACTTGCAAAAATCAGAACTTATACCAAGGTTGAAGTAAATTATTTGACTTCATTAGAAAAAAAAACATGAAGCTTTTATAAGTGAACCTTCTCTTCGTTTTTAAAAGAAGTTGCTAACAACCTCAGTAATGAGATCACGTTAAAAGCCAAAGTCTAGAATTATTTAGAACTTTTTTTTTTGTGCAGGGAATGAGTTTTTTCTCTAACAATTAATTCAGCATTAATCCATGCCTCGAGAAATTACGCTTGATACTTTTTCTAACTTATTATTTCGTTTTGTTTCACCAGAAAAAATATCAAAGAAATATCAATTTCAAGTCCTCAATGAAAGTTTTTAATTGCTAAAAAAGGTAAATTGTATTACTTATAATAAAACTCTTTATTTGGTACTTGTACTTTCTTTGGATGTATTATGAACTATTTTACTTAAATGATAAATTACTTTTCAATCTTTTACTAGCAATTTTTTTTAATCTATTTTATTAGTCATTGTATTTTGCATACTTTCAATCTCGAAATCAACCATTAAATTGGCTTTGACGGTTCATATTATTTTCTAACAATAAATTCAGCATTAATCCATGCCTCAAGAAATTACACTTGATTCTTTCTTTAACTTATTATTTGGTTTTGTTTCACTAGAGAAAAAAATCAAAGAATGATCAATTTTAGGTCTTCAATGAAAGTTATTGAGTGCTAAAAGAGGCAAATTTTATTACTTGTAAAAAAACTCTTTATTTATTACTTTTATTTTCTTTATATGTATTATGAACAATTTTACTGAAATGATAAATTACTTTTAAATCTTTTACTAGCGATTTTTTTTAATCTATTTTATTAGTTATTGTATTTTTGTATACTTCTAATCTCGAAATCAACCATTAAATTGGCGTTGACAGTTCATATTATTTTTTGAACTAATTGAAATGATGAATCTTTTTTGCTAAGCTTTTGTAGATTTTTTGTTTTCATATTTGAAACAGAATAAAATGGTTTTGATTTGACCCCTAACTAAGAATTTCATGCTAGTCTCAGAACTTTGTGAATGTTATAACTTTCTTGGTTATTTGAAATTTTTATTTTAGTATTGTTTATCTTATTGAATATGAAGCTCGCCAGATACTATAATGTTGGAGTTTCATAGAGGGGAATAATAGTAAAAATAAAAGCAAATGCATGAAAGGCATTACTTAGTATGGTGAATTAAAAGATTTATCAATCGAACCTTTATTTATTTTGACTAATATTCCATCTAGACTAATTTTAAGAAACTTTTTTTAGTTAAGTATTAAAATATATTTATTCATTATCACTATTGTAGTAAGCCAATTATGATTATAATTGAATTCACTTGTATTAATCTCAAGCCAACATGAGTGTTATATCTTTTTTGTCTTTAAATCTTATTTTAGCAAAAGTTATCTCGTTAAGTATAGAGCTAACTAGATACTATAATCTTGGTTTTTCAGGGAAGCAAAAAGAGCTGGCAAATTGATAGTCAAATAACATGTTCATTTGTATAGTTTTTTATTGCATAGTTTTGGATGTTTATAAAGATAGTGATATTTAATATAGATAAACTCTTTTTGTATGTACGATTTTAAATTTAAGGTTGATTAGAAGAATTATGGTTATTTGTGGAATGTTTTGAAAACACTTCCACAATTATGTTCATAATTTTTTTAAGAATCGAAATGAAAAAATTTGCTTGGTCATGATTTCATAAGAGTAATCGATCCAGAAAAATTGAGAGGTAATTCATATGTGATATAATTAATATATGATAAATTGTATTAAATAAATAAATTATGCAATTACATATAAATATTCTTGAAAAAAAATGCTGAAAAGAATGAATGGTCAATTTCTCAAGCTAGTTATAGAATCAGAAATGCAAGCTGGGGAGAATTCTAACAGAAGTGAATTTAAATGGAACTAATGAGCAAACTTGACCGCAGGAGCTAAATTATATTTTAAATTTGATCTCTCAAGTAAAACTTGGCTTTTTTGAGTCGCACTCATCTATTACACCTATGGTTAGCCCGAAAAAGTTGTCTGGGGTATAACACAATATTTATAAACCTTCCTCCTCATTCAAACCCCCTTTCCAGTGATTCGTCCAATCGACTGCACCAATTCCCACTTCTCCATGGTGCACACCTCTTCAATCTTTTTAAGGTCAAGAATGGTTAGGGCATTATAATTCCCTTTGCACTCCAGTCGGCAAACCCCACAATTAAGGCTCTTTCCGGTGCTAGGCCCTAGCTTCATTCTTCCTTATAAATTGCCACCAGTAAAATCCCCTCTCTTCCTCCATCACAGCAACAACAACTCTATCATTCTTCCTCAACCAACAACTTACGGAGAGTCTCGTTTTATTAAGAGATTTCATAGTTATTAAGCACAAAAGCATTATCTTTATTTTATCTTCCACTTTGACCTAGAGTATTCAATTTCACGCCATAATTGTTTGTTAAGCTTCTTGCTGCCAAACATAAGACAACCTATAGGTAGCATTGTCTCTTTCTCTCTGTCTTCCTATTTCTGTCTTTATATCATAATCAGGTAAATCCAAATTATTAGCAATTATTGTCCTTCTAAATTTTTATATTAATTTTATTTTGCTGAAGTTTTAATTAGACTTGTTAACCTCTCATCATCAATTATCTATATAAGATTAGCTTGATTTTGAAATAAACAATATAGTAAGGTTTAAATAATAACACTTGAAGGATTCACCTAACGCTTTATGTAATAGGATGAGTAGATTAAGCATTACATCATGCGTCGTTCATTTTTTTCCTTGTTCACGATTCCAATTAAGCATTACAGAATCTTCAAGTGGATTTTCATCTAACATCATTAATTGAACCTTCAATAGATTGGAAGTTTTGTATTGCTCGCCTTGAGATATATAAATATTATCGTTTAAGAGATAAATAAATAATTTTTACTGATGACAACACAGTTCATTTCACAAGATCAATGAATTTTTTTTCTTTTATGTAAGACAACTGATTTTGCACTAGACTTGCATTGCTCCACTTCTATTGTCCATCCCTTTTCTTGTGTTTAGTTGAAGTAATCACAAGGGTCTTTTCTTAATAATAATTAACTCTAAATACATCGACATAGTCCATTTCATGAAACAAGCAATGATTAGACAACTTTAATTGCAATCGAGGTATTTCAAGAAAATAATTTATGCACTTCGCATGCATTGTCCACCATTTTCATTGTGCTTGATCAAATTGGTCTACTAGAAATATGAGAAGGTTAAGATTTATATTGTAATTAGAATGGAAATTTAATTCAATTAAATTCCTTCATAGGATTGGTCATGTCCTATTTAAAATTAAATTTAGAACTACTTGTGATAACGCTTCAATGGGATAACTCTTCCATAATCATGAAGTTTTAAGCATTATTTAAAGTATTTTTTTAATTTAAAATTTCAAATTGTCATAAATAATGCTTCAAACCCTTTAATTTAGACCATGTTTTAAGAGAGATTATATTGTTTATTTTATATTTTAAATTTTAAAAATACGTTATTGGTCTACTCTCCTCCTTGAAACAAGCAATAACTTCTTCCATTTGATTTATCAAACTAGTTCTTGCTTCATGAGGTATAATTAAGGAGAGAGATGAAGCATCTTTAGCAAAAATTCTTTGTATGGAAATGTCATTCTAAAGAAGACAAGGCATTACCTTTTATGGATGAAAAAGATAATATTAAACTTTATATGTTTCGTCTTATAAAGCTCAGCCATACTTTGATTTTCCATTAAATGAAGTAATATTTTGATGAAATCTTGATGAAGATAATTATATTACCCCTTAAGCATAATCTAACTCTTTGAACCTATTTAAAATGTTATCTTGGTTTGTGAAACTCATTAACTAATGCCAATTAATGGAATTTTGTATTTTTCATATATTTAATGATTTGAAGCTTTTGTCTTTGTTGTACATCAAATCTATGTATAAATTTTGATTTTGCAGGAGGTTGTGCCTCAATAATTTCTCTAATGAATGCATTTGCCGCATTCAAGGTTTAAGTGTTCATCAATATTTTCAAAATGATAGGTCACATCAATGGCTAGAATCAAAGGCAATGCCCTTTAACTTATTAGTTGTTGGCAAATGATGAAATCTACAGATTCATCCTAAAGAGTTTGTACATGTAGAGTACTTCTTGAAACACAATAAACTTTTTGAATCATATTGGTGAATATTTCCTCCATCTAATTAAGTCTTTTACACCTAACAGAGTCTAGGCACTTCAATGCAATTAACCTCACTGTCTAAATATAAATAAATAAATAAATAAATAATAAAAAACCTCTCCATCTCTACATATTATTTCAAATCATAATTTCTTGTCTTTAGCATCTTCTCATGCTCACTGTACTTAAATGAATATTGAATTTAAATTTGTAAATGGAAAACAACAAAACCTTACAAAGAAAAATAACTAAGAAACAAGAGAAAAAAAAAATCAAAAAAAAGGTAATATAAAATGTGAAACTCTGAGATTTTACTTGTTTTTTAAAAGTACTAAAACTTAAGAAATGATTCAAAATATATAGCCCACCTTTTGACTCCCTGTCTATAAACTAGAGATAAAGCCGAATGATGCAAGAAAAGTTACATTTAAACAACATAAATAAAACTATATAGCAAAACTTAATAAATGCTTGCTATAAATGAACTTAGCTAATATATAATCATTTGGTTAAATAGAGTACAAATGCTAATTTTCAAGTAAGGGGTGAGTTTGCATGCAGTAACCGACCAACTTTATTAAGGCAAGTCGAAGCTAGTGAGTACCATTAGCAAGTCGGGTAAGCAACCTTAATGGCATGAGTGACTTTATTCAATCTTTGAAGACAGTATAATCAAGTGGATAGTTTTGAGCAAGTTGAACTCAATGTTGAGTTCATCATGCTTTTGGTGACTTTCAAGTATTCAACTTTCCTAGTTTACTAGCTTTGAACCTAGTTCATACTTCTCAACAAAACTAATTGAACTAGCCTAGAATATAATTTAAGCGTATATAACTGGTGAGTTATTTTATATACCACAAAAATGATAATATGCCAAAGTTAAGAAACATAGAGCAAATACAAGTTCTACAAATTTTGGTTTGGTTTAGGTTGGGCACAAGATGAAGATTGCTTCATGATGGGCTTTGATTGTATGGAATCGATTTGAGTTGTTTAATAGCTAAGTCTAGTGAAGAATACAACCAACCAATTAAAAACCCATGTCAACAAGGGTTTAAGGGACAACTTACCAATATTAAGTACAACATAATTTTTTATCGAGTTAAAAAAAAATTCAAGTGGGAAACAATAACTGAAATCTCTCTTGATGCTTATAGATTCAAAGGATATGTTATTTAAAATTTGCAAAATCAAAAAATGAAAATGTTAAATTATTTTTTGTATGATCTAGAAGCTACAACTTGCTAACTTCTTATCAAATTGTGGTCACTAGTTTATTTATATATTCAAATGAGAATCAAACAAGAAAAAACTAATGAAACCAAATCATTACCTACAGTTCTAAAATGAAATAATAAACACTTATTTACAACACTTACAAGAGTAGTGAATTAACGATTCAAAAATTCGTGGCAACATATTCATGCTTGTGAGATTAGACACTCGTTTAAAAAATAGTAATATAAATTTGTATGTAAATTTTAATTAAAAAACTAGGAATTTACCAATAATCCAAGAAGACTTCAGACAATTTTATTGGACATGACTGCTTGCAAACCATAAGAAGTTGCTCAAATGCAGTCAGTGATTCCCCACCACATGACTCTCCAGGTAAGGCCAGTAAGGTCCCTGAATCGTTCATGCCACCAGCCTTAACCATCTCACATGTCTTGTTCTTTGAGAAGGCCATTGCACTTTCACATTCATCATTGGTGATTCCCTCTTGTTTTATGCTAAGGGCACTAAGGGAAGATAAAACAGAATCTGCCCTCAGGTCTTTAATCAAATTTTTATTAGCACTCCCTGAAGAAAACCGCCTTGGGACAATAGAAAAGTTTGAGGCAACCTCTGAAAGAGAGTCCTTCGTAAATTTTTGTGTTGCACTATAGAATTTACACTCACTCAATTCAAAAGTTGAATTTTCTCCATGCTTGACAGAACCATCAGTAGTAGTATAACTTGAGGAAGCTGATATTGTTTCCATTATCTTAGAAAGTGGCCATGCAATGCACCATCCCAAAAAAAGCTTTAATCTTCTCCACCGACCCACAAAGGCAGTCAAATCATGCTCTATGCAGTTATAATCTGCGCCCATCTTCCAAGTAAACATATTGGGTGAAGGGCTTTCCTCCAACAGTTCAACGGCATCAACCTCTTCAAAATAAGCCTTTTCGTTGCTGAAATCAGAGAGTTGTTCCGAGCTTTATTCTGCAAACACACCATATAATAGAGAATGACTATCATCCTATCTTACTGAAGTGCAAATCAAGAGAATCTAACTACAACAAAAAGGAAAAAGAAGCTTTAAGATAGTATTAGTAGAGAAACAAGACCTGCTTTATTTTATTCCGCTCTCCTCTTTGTTTGGATTTTGTCCTCAAATCAAGGCCGCAAACAAATATTATGCTTTCCCTTCCCCTATGAATTTAAGTGAAAAACATGGAAACATTTCCCTCAAAAAGCGATAAAATTAAAATAAGTATTAAGGACACAAACTTGATAACCACAGCCAACAAAATAGCGATCACGAAGCGTTGTTATGGGATTCGCATTCATAATCATAAAACAATTAGATTAAAAATTCAATCGAAACTAAGAATGACATAAACTCCAAGCTGAACTTATGGAAAGGGATCTACTCCAGCTAGTTTTCTTCAGCGGCCCACCGTTTAATCTTCTCCATGGATGGGATTCATTTCTTCGAAATTAAGTGTGATAAATCAGATAAAGAAGTGAACTTTACTAGCGTATTCCAAAAGACCTACATAGTTTGAAGACTTTTCCGCGTCTACCTTATATCTTTAGCTTCTCTTGGCGGCTTTCTCCCCTCGTCGACCAACGAGATTTTGTCCTCTGAAGACCGCTCGACATCAGCTGATGCGATTTCCATAAGATCGACCCCGTTGCCTATAGATTATTGGGGGAAAATTGGAGAAGAATTGAAGCAACGAGTTCAGTAGGAGCAGGAAACTAAGGTTTTTACTAGTAACTCGTGAGAAAATGCTCCCAGAGAGTCAGAGAGAGAGAGAGAGCGAGAGAGTACAGGGCTTTGGAGAGGAAAATTTGAACTCGACAGTCGCCTAAAAAAAACAGGGATTTTTATTGAAGGGCTGTTTGGCGTGCTTCAATATGTACGACATTCTTTGTTATTTTTTTGTAAACTTATTTTTTTATTTTACTGTTTGAGGCATTAGTATGAGTTTGATTTTGTCACCTATTGTTCTAAATTGAAGAAATGTGCCTAACTGTACATCGAAAATATGATCACATGAATATCAAGAAAATTAATGGATGGTACTAAAAAGATACCATAGGACAACATCAAAACAGTTGAAAGATAGAGGCATGAATCATTCTTTTCGATGAGATGATTGGCCGACCAATGAAACATATATCCTAACTTAAAAAAATTATAAAAGTATTGTGCATTTGATATGAGGTACAACCACCCGTTATCAACCCTTTTAAAGAGGAATGAGTTTGCTATTAAAAAAAAGATATTTTCCTTACTGATTAATCCCTCCATCTCCGACGTACGGAGATTTTTGTCGTTAGACGGTAAGACGCCTAGCTAGCTGACTTCATCTAGTGAACGCAGAAGAGGAACACCTTCGTGTGATGGGATATGTATTGCCACATCTGCATGCATTTGTCGTTGGCGGATCAAATCTGAGGCCATGACTTACTACCTAACTCCAGAAGTGGCAATGAGTTGAATGATTCAGTCATCTTTTCTATTCTCTGTTTCGTCGTCATCGTCTGTCTGACCAATATGAGTCGCTTGGAACCGTTCAGCCTCCCTTTGTCTTCCAACCTTTTTTCTGTCCGCGGGCTCGTATTAGCAGGTTTCTTCATGGGTGTTGGGAGTTAGTTTCATGCTCTCGAGGTTTTTTTTTTCTGTCATCTCGAGGTTTTTTTTTCTGTCATCTGAATGACAATTTTTCTCAGTCGATAGCCCAAGACCTTTAACATAACCTCCATCAGTTAAAACTGACTTAACATGACTTTGAATTTTTTATAGTGCCCCACTCATGAGACAATTAAAACATCAGAGGAAAAAAATGTAAATTCATGTTCTTTATTTAATTTTTTTATATTTATTTTATTCAAAAATAGGAATTTTCAATATTAATTCATTTAATCAACCAAAACAAATTATCTATCCTTAGGAAAATTATTAATGATTCACCTAGGTCAGAGGACCACTTTTTTGTGTTATATTTTAATCATTATATTTAATTAATGATTTTGAGTATTAATTAAATATAAAATATTATTTAAGTTGAAATTTAACTTCTATATTTTTCTTAAATCTCTTTGAGTCCTAAGAACCCAGAGAAACAAACTTCATATTTTTGTGATTTATTTTGTATTTATTGTAATTATTTTAGTGCTAAATTATTGAAAATTTATTTTTAAGCCTTTAAAGATTTATAACTTCACTTAGAAAATTAGGAAAAGTAATTTGATTACTCCCAAGTGACCAGAAAACCAATTGTGGCATTTTGAGGCATTTTTCTATTTTAGTGATTTTTTTATCATTTTTTAATTATTTTTAATTATCTAAAATTTGAAATGTTTCTTAAAAAATTAAATATTTATTTTGATTTTAATTTTATTTTTCTTACATTTCCCTAGTCACAAAGGACTCCCAAAACCATTTTTGTAATTTTCTTAATTATATTTTAATTATTACGATTATTTTAATGCAAAAATGTCATTTTACCTAAAAAATCAAATTTGGTGGTAAATAAACTTCAAAGAGGCTCCAAATTTTTACAATTAGTTAAAATGATTATTACTTACAATGTATGTCCAATTTTGTGATGTTTTTATTTTTATTTTAATTGTTGGATTTTTTTTTCATTTTAATGAGTTAAATACATAAAATAATATTTTGAATTACTTAAATCCATTTTATATTTTTTCTAAGACCCTCTGATCACAATGAACCTATCAAAATAAGTACTGTGCTTTTCTGATTTATATTTTAATTTTTATAATTTTTTAAACAAACAGAGGTTATTTACTTTTAAAATTATGTCTTCCACACTTAGAGGTATTCTCTGACTTCGAAAAAATCAGATAATACACCAAAGGACAGGGAGTTTAACTTCCAAAGTTTCACCCCATGCGGATTAGTATTTGATAAGTAAAGACTTAATTATTTTTTTAGTATTTAATTTATTAAAAATAAAATATAAGTCAAATAATTTTTTTTTTTATTTTACATTGTTCTCATCTTTTCACCGAGCAAGAGGGTATTTTTCTTTTATTTTTAGCATTTTTCTACATAAAATTGTGCATTTTTTAAGCTAATTGAATTAAATAAATCAATTAAATCCCTAATTTTCTACTTAACCATGTGGCAGCCGCATCATCCTAAGCAGCCTCTAAAGCCCACGCGTCGCTCCGCTATTTGACGCCCCCATCCACATAACCGCTGACTCAGCTCTCACTTTATGTTCCATCCTCTCATCTGGCGCAATCTAAACCGTTCGTCCGATACATGCACGATCGGACGGCTTCTGGTCATCGTCCCCAGTGGCCCTAAACCGTAAACCGTTCATTTTCTAAACACAATTTCTCCTTCGATTCACAACCAAATCAAGCGGGATTTGTTCCTACACCTTCATCTAGTCATGACAAACCTATTTATATGGTTGATAAGTATGAAATACAAGTTCGCTTCATAAAAGCCCAAACCGAGCACGGATTTGGGTGTTTTGATCCATACCTTAGTCCAAGAGGTGTGGCCTCAATTGGATTTGTTCCTGAGCTTTATTGTGAGTTGGAGAACCTCCTTCAAGTGTCAATCTAAACTAAGATTGAACCCAAGTATGAATTCAATCAGAGGGTGATTCGGGTTTGGTCATGGACTAGGTTAGAGTGCACAAAACTATGGGTCTTTGGTTGGGGAAGTCTTCTTTTACTCTAGTGAAGCTTATGGGACAATCAATTTGGACTTTGGTGGCACTTGATGGTATTATTGTGAAAACCTCTAAATTTTAGACTTGAAATTGGGTCAGAAGAGCGAGAATTAGGGCAGGAAAACAGTGGGGATTAACTTCTCTAGACTATTAGATGGTCTGGAAATATTTTGGCAGAGTTTTGTTAAGGTTTTTGTATCCCTCTTTCTTTGGTCGTGGGGTGATGCTCATTTTATAGAGGAGGTCATGCTTGCCATCAAGGCAAGCCATGTTGGCAGGGGAGCCACTTAGGTGGAGGGAACAAGTGTTGTGATGGCCAATGGAGTTTTGCCAACTCAGGTGGGTTCAATTTTGGATTTCAAGCTTTGGGGAGGCTCTTGGGTTGAGTGTTTTTTGGCGGCTGGGTGGTTGTCCGCCCAGAGTATTGTCACCCCTGAGGTTCAAATAAGCTAGAGAGGTTGAGTGATGAAGTCAATTTGGTCTTAAGATGGCTCCAAGGTGGAAATCCAATGGAAATGTAAGTTTTGGGTTGAATTGGCTTGCTTGGGTTTAACACCTTATTCAAGTGGCTAGGTTTGATCCAAAGCTAGTTAGGGTTGCCCTTAAGATGCCCAAGCATATTTTGGTGGAGTCAAATGGCTGACTTGGGCATGGGAGAGTGAGTTTAAATTTGCATGAAAAGGGTAAATTCAAGTAGAGAAGAGAGAGGGAGTGGTCACCTCTACTTGCCTTTTTTGGAAAATTTGACCTTGGGATGGCAATGGAAGGCTACAAGAGTCATTCCATGATGTATATGATAACTTGGAAAATTTTCATGAAAAAGGAAATTTAATTATATGAAATTTTGGGTGGTAAATGCCATGATGCCCAATTTTTGTAAAGTGTTATGTATGCATGGAGAAATTTGATATGATGCCAGGGTGAAAAGATTTTATAGGCCATGGGATGATGGGGAAGGAATTTTATCATTTGGGTTTTGATTAGGGCTTTTAAAATTGGTCACATGGGCTTTTAGAAATGCATATGGGTATGGGCTTTTGGACATGCATGATAATGATTTTAATTTTGAAAATTAATCATGGTCTAACCAAATGGATTAGAATTTAATTAAAATTGGATTTAGAAATGATGGAATTTGATGTGTGATGTGAATTTGAACTGTGAGGAACTTGATTAGCCATGGAGCTCAATTTGAGGCACTTTGAATTTTATATCAATTTGGGCTAATGGATTTGCACTTGAAATTAAGACTTGGAATTGGGTTCAATTGAGCTTGAATTTGGTTTCAAATGTGTTTGGAAATTGTGAATTTGAGCTTAGGTTTGAAATTGAAGAAATTTGAGATCAATTTGATGGAGATTGGAGGTGATTTGGGGACTTTAGGCACTTAGGGGCAATTTGGGGATTTTGGTGGGGCAATTTTTAGGCACTTAGGGGCAATTTGGGGATTTTGGTCAAAATGGGTCAATTTGATCAAATTAGACCCAATGAGTGATCAAGATTGTTTTAGGAGTATTTGAAATGAATTTGGAGGTTTTTTGGAAAATTTGGGCCATGAGGGACATTTTGGTAATTTTGGGAAAGATAGGGGTATTTTGGGAATTTTGAAACTTTTGGAATGTTTTGGGTAGTTTGGATGGTTTCAAAAAGTTTGGGATGATTTTTTGGATAAAATTGGGCAGTTTGGGTAGTATTTTAAAATTTTGCGTTTCAAGGGTAATTTGGTAGTTTTGAGAAAGTTTGGGGGCAAAAGGATAAATTGGGTATTTGGGTAGGATGAAATCAATTGTGGACGCTAATCTTAAAATTACCCTTTTTTTAGCCACGAGACCAAGGGAACTCCCACTATGGATCTTCCATGTGCAGGTCTTAGCCAAGGGCTAATGGTTTAGGAGACCATTCACATTAGTTTCCAGAAGGGTAAGGGATCAAGTTAGGCATGTTTGGTTAAGGGTTTAGGTTGTGAGTGAAAGTGTAGGGTTTTAGGTGTGTGTGTGTGTGTAAGCTTTGACCAAGACCAGACCACCCAAGGTTTACCCTAAGGCCTTACCAATCTACAGGGAACTTCTCTTGAGCTTCCTTATGCTTGGCTTCATCCTACTAAGTGACGGAGCTTAGCATTAAGCATATGAAACTCCAAAAGCAAAG